CAGAACAAGGTCATGACTGCTGGATTTGGTCTTAAGGGTCTTGCTGTCGGAGATATTCACGGAGTTAAGTTAAAGGTCGTGAAGGTTGACGGAGTTTCAACCTTGGCCCTCTTCAAGGAAAAGAAGGAGAAGCCAAGCTTTTGAAATGGATTTTGACATTTAAACCACATTTTGGTAGTTCTGTTCTACTTTAACATTGAAGAACTTCATGTATTAAGCATTTTTATGAGTTTTTGAGTTCGGTCTCCGACCCTTCAAATGCTATAATGGTTTTTTAATCAGTTTTACTTGTTTGTTCTGATCATAACAATCCAAAATCTTTGCTTTGAAACACTAAGATCTTACTTCCGAGTTCTACTCATAACTAGATTGTTGCTTTAATTTTTACCGAAAACCTAGTCTCATCACAAGAGTTAGCTGTTCAAAACTCTGATTAAACCCCCTAAACTTTGAAAAGGAAAAGATGCCTACCAATGTGTTTTAACTGGTCATCTTGTTGTTGCTCTGTTTTGCTTTGGGGCACACATACTTGAGCTTGTAACTTAGAAGAGAAGGTCCGAAGATGCTGTATTTCCCTGAGCTGCTAAAGGCAGTCTTTGCGTCTTCGCCACTTTTGAACACCACTTTAGCTCTCTTGCTTTTCTTCATGACCTGAGTCTCTGATTCTATGAGAGGACCGTAACGGTTAAATATGCTGTTCAGCTTTTCTTCGGATGGAACTGAACCTGAATCCAAAAATATGAGGATCAATGCATTGGGTGCTCTTGAATCTGCAGAACAGTCTTTGAGAGCAGTTTCCTCTTTTGAGCCTGTTATGTCTTCTACTGCCTTCTTAAACTCATCATTGAGATTACTGCAAGATATCTCCTTTAAGAATTTATCAAATTCTTCATACTTCGAGTGGTCTATGGTGACTGATTCCGGTATCCCCTCTGGAGTTTTTGCAGAGTGAAGGCTCGGGAGCATCTCATCAGGAGAAGAAATCTTTCTTTCTGCAAGCTCTTCGTGTTTAATCTTCTCCGTCTTCGTGTTCTCGTCTTCTACTTTTGTGGTAGAATTAGAATCACTGCAAGAATTAAACGTAGGAGTTAAAGAATCCATCTTGGTTTCCACTCTCAAAGGGATATCTCCAATTCCGCAACATGGTTCAGCCACCTTCTGCAGTTTATTACCATCACCCATTGACGAATTGTTTTCCTCATCAGAGTTTTGAGATACTGAATCCTCTGTTTGCAGGTTGTTCTTGATCTTTTTCTCAGACTGATCAGATTCCGAAGACTCAACCTTACGCTTCTTGTCCGAATGCGACTTACCATCCAATTTCTCAATCGATCTGCTCCCAAGGCGTTTCTCTTCAGTCAAATCTGACAGAGTCTTCTCCTTCATCTTTTCATCAGCCCTATCCTCAAAATCAAACCTTTGCTTGTGTTCATCGTTATCTTTGTAATCCGTCTTTCTCTTTTTGGAAGACACTTCTTCATCTGTATCGAGCTCCGAGAGAGAAGCTTTGCGAGCTGCTGATTCTACAGACTTTAGAAATGTTTCATACTCTGGGAAGTTAAAATAGCCTTTCCATTGTTGAAAAGCCAATAACTGAGCTCGGTTAATCACAAACTGCATCTTATCACTCGCATCATAGCTAGGAAAGCAAGCTAAATCCTTCATATACTCCACAAGTTTTGCAGGTTCAAAAAAGACAGCATTCGATAACTTGTCACCACCGTATCTCACGCGTGAATCCTCTCGAATTCCAACATTCGTTATGTTATGAGTCTTGAGTTTGCTATAAGCTTCCACTGACACACAAGCGCAAGACAAACCAAACTCTACTCTCCTCGAAACCTCTTCCAAAGCACAATCGATCGCATCACGAAAATCCGCCGAGTTACTCTGATTCACCATCTCTGAGAAATGCTGACGAAATGGCTTTATCTTGGATACATCATTCCAAGCAAAACTGCAATCACCAAAATACACAACCAAAGAATTCCCTTTCTTGAAGTGCTTCTTCGCGTTCTTCGATGCGAGAGACGCATCAAACACTTGTCCAGGCCACCATAGATAGCTTCTTACTTTACCCCAAACTAAATCTGACTCAGATAGATTCAGATTCTCATTACCTGAAGCTAAACCACCTAAAACCACAACACTATCTAGATCTCTCTTCTCAACAAAATCCTCAGATTCTGCATCTGAATCATTCTCAGTTTCAAAATCAGACTCTCTATCTACACAATTCGTCTCCTTCTTCGGATTAGAAACTACATTTCTCTTATCACCAGCAGAGAAGAAGCTTTTTCGGTCAAACCCAACAAGCTTAACTAGGGTTTCAGATGTGTGAGCTACTCTGTTCTCAATCCTCGACGCACTGAATCCAGAAACAGCATCGGAGACCGATTCGACTCCTCCCGGTGGTTCCGTAGTCATAACGAAGTAAGTACCCCAAGAAAAACCCTAGAAAACGGAGAAGAAATCTCACATTTCCATTAAAGCCAAATACAAGAGAGAAAGAAACTTATTAA